TTTTTGTAATTAAAAATACATAGTTAATTTTTCATATTTCTGACAGAATATGCTGCCTGGGAGTTTAGTGGCGTCTCCTCTGGAGGTGTTTAAAACAGACTGGAGGGTGTAGCGAATTTGGTTTGCCTTAGAAAGTTAGGAAGTGACCTACCAATTTTGTGGTGTCCAGAGAGCAATAGCACCAGTAGGGAGGCTATTTCCATGCGACCAACCTGATTGATCATACGCAAGTGAGCGCGTGCCAAGATTTGAAAGATGGGAGAGTCAAGGATGCCTAACTGAATGTTCTGTAGAGTTGGTTAGTGAGCTAAGGTCCGGGAGGATGTTAGCTGGAAAGCTACTGGAAAATCAGTCAGAAAAAAAGGTTGAGGAAGCCTAATGGTACTTTCTGATGTGGTTGGTCAGTGAGAAAGAATGAGGGAGGATGTTAGCTGAGAAGCAGCTGGAAAATTAGACGAACAAGTTAAAGCTAGTTGGAAACCTGTTTTTATGTATTATTATAACAGTCCTTTTGGGAAGAATGAAAAGATTCTCTGCCCCGGAGTGGGGTGGAGGCTCCTTTGTGGGAAGCTTTTAAACAGAGGCTGGATGGCCGTCTGTCAGGGGTGATTTGAATGCAATATTCCTGCTTCTTGGCAGAATGGGGTTGGACTGGATGGCCGATGGGGTCTCTTCCAACTCTTTGATTCTATGATTCTATGATTGAATGAAACTCATACTGAAACGTTATTTTGTAATCAGCAAGCATTTGAACCTCTGTAACCATTACGCTTTTGCCACAAGAATGCTACAAATAAACTCAGTTACTGTTTCATTTCAAACAAAGCCTCCAACTTGAGAAGTCATAAAAGGAAGAAGAGTTAAACAATCTTTTATTCCTTGTTGTCATATTTGCTCAGGCTGGCGGCCTTCCCCCTTCCTGACTGTTTTGCATTACTGATTAGATAAACAAATAAGAGGTCCCTTCCGCCACGCAACAAATTAGAGTGCCTCACAGAGGGCCATCTGTCGAGATGGTTTTTACTGTGTCTTCCTGCTTGGCAGAAGGGAGTTGGACTGGATGGCCTTTGGGTTCCCTTCCAAATCTAGAATTCTATTACTATTCTCCGTCTTGTCCTTCCAGTTCAGAAGGGATGTGTGTTGCAGGGTGTGCCTTCCAAATGCTGTCACATGAGCATACAATAATGTTGTGCCCTTCCTCGAGCCACAAGGAGAATAGAACAATAATATGATGATGATGATGACTCCCTCCCCATGAACTCAGACAAGCTCGGGTGGCCAGAAAAGACTTCTTAAGAAGGAACCAAGTCTTTGCTAGGCTCACATCCCTTGGCCAAGCATGCCCACCTTGAATCCCATGCTAGGGAAAATGCAGAATGTACATTTGATAAATGGCTGAGGATGGGTTTTAGGAGCATGTCTACCTAGAGAAGGATATGCTTTCCTATAGGAAAGGTGCTTTCCTATAAGGTTATGAAAGACTTTCATAAAAGCATAAAAGGGTGGTGCGCGAAGACTTTTTGGGAACCCAGAGATGCCTTCTTCTCCCAGTTGCTGAATCAATAAAGGTGGTCGAGCGAAGGACACAAGGCAGCGAAGCACCTTCATGATCTCGTTGGGGGGAGTATGTCTGTCTGTGGGTTTGTGGAGCTTCTTCTCTGAGGCTTTTCCCCACTATGGAGCGTGTGCGGTCACTCAGCGGTCAAGCCCGGCCTGCTTTTGCAGCTGCAGGTCAAGATCAAGGTGGCCTTCCAAATGGCTCCATGTCTTCTGATTCCTCTGCAAGCCTTTAGGGCAGGCATGGGCCAACTTCGGCCCTCCCTCCAGGTGTTTTGGACTTCAACTCCCACAGTTTCATAAAAGCATTGCTTGACAACATTCTATGCAATGCTTTTGACATGAAATAAATGAGTCAGGGGCTAATGCGAAGATTCCTTTTGTCTTGGTGAGTGATGCTTTTCTCCTTCCTGCCTTTTGCTTCCAGACGGATTGTTCCAGCTACGAACTGGAGGAGCTGCACACCAAGGTGGTCTCGCTCTGCAGCCGGATAGAGCTGCTCCCCTGCCACAGCGCCAAGGACAGGTTGGCCCAGTCTGGTGAGTCCCGGGCTTTGCTTTCCTGACTTTGAGTCCTTCCCTTCATTCCAGACCCCTCAGGACAGCAAAAGCAAACATAATGACTTTTTCTCGAAGGCTTTCACCTCTCAACAAAAGATTGCCCCAGGCACTGCCAGGCCATCAAATGCTAATCAAGGTGGTCAGTTGAAACATTCATACCTAGCTCCAACAGACAAGAGTTCTTTGCCCCACCCTGGGTCTCTTGCTGCTGCTTGGGCCCCACGAGTGGAGGCGGTGGAGGCATCGTAGGGCCCAGCAGAGGAGGCTTTTTGTTTTTAAAAGAATTTAAGTAGCGAGGGAACACTGTGTGAAAGAGAGGGAGGCACCTCATCGCTGCCCGGGCCTCTTGCCAAAGCTGCTTCTTCCCTCCGGGAGCGTCTCTTCTTCCCTCCTCGTCCTCTTTACCTTCCTCTTCCTCCTCGTCACCGCCTGGGCCTCTTGCTGCCGCTTGGGCCCCACAACTGAGGAGGCGTTAAGAGGTGTCGCGGAGCCCAAGAGGAAGGTAAAGAGGGGGAGGGGGAGGGAGCGTCCCTACTTCGCGGAATTTCACTTATCGTGGGTGGTCCTGGAACGTAACACCTGCAATAAGTGAGGGACCACTGTACAGCAAAAGAAAACTGCATTGTATTAAGGGAAGCCAGGAGGAAGTAGAGGAAGGCAAAGAGAGCGAAAACAAAAACCGCGAAATGGAGTCCGCGATAAGCGAACTGTGAAGTATTGAAGGAACTGTAAGACTGTAGGATCTATATAGCAATATTAAATAACCACTCACAAGCCAGTTTTGCTTTGAAATGGATATATTGCTTGTATCTCTGCAGCAAAGAAAGACACCACTGACTTTTTCCCACCACCACTTCCTTTTATACACCTTTCCTGCCCATCTCCCCCCTCTTCTCAGTTAGGTATTCTTTTTTACTTTAAGATACTCTGCTGCTTTTAGGGAGAAATTCCCTGATGTTCCTCTTGATTAAGTTGTTTGCAATTTGCAGTGTAGATTTCAGAGTATGCATGTATGTTTAAAATACAGTAGCTATGTGTCGAGTGTAATGTATTCCTGTGTGGAAAGAGTTAACTGAACCATGGAGGGAACGGCATTCCTAGAGATGTCATAAATCAAGTGTATAGAACAAATGGACACAGCGTCGTACGTCATACGTCACTCTGGACTCTGGAATGCAGGAGGTGTGGACTAGTACTGATAACAGGAAGTTTGCAATCTTACGATCAGACAGAAAAGAAGCAAATTTACAATGTGCTGAGTGTTAAGTCGCTTCTAATGTATATAGCTGTAAAATAAAGTAGTTTATAGCCTAGGTGGCTGTGATTGATCTGTTCCTGCCTTGCTGTGCGGCCGATGTTGCTGACACCTCTCTCTCCCTCCCTCCGCAGAAATGGCCAAGCGCAACGCGGACATCCTGAGGGCCATCCTGAGCCTGCAGCACCCGGCGGGCCCTTCCACCTCCTCCTCTTCCTCGGCTGCCCCCCACCTGCCCTTGCGCCTGCTGGCCCCCCACATTGGCCGGCTGCCCATGCCCGAGGACTACGCCTTGGAGGAGCTGCGGGGCCTCACCCGCTCCTACCTGAGGGAACTCACCCTGGGCGCCCAGTGACCCGACTGACCAGAGCCCCTTCCCTCTCTTTACAATCGGCTCTGTTTTTTTGGAGGGCATAAATCCCCCCCTTTGCCCCCTCCTTGGTGGACCCGGCCAGGGACTACAGCACCCATCTTTTTCTGGCTTGTTTTGGGTGGTGCGCGAAGACTTTTTGGGAACCCAGAGATGCCTTCTTCTCCCAGTTGCTGAATCAATAAAGGTGGTCGAGCGAAGGACGCAAGGCAGCGAAGCACCTTCATGATCTCGTTGGGCGGAGTATGTCTGTCTGTGGGTTTGTGGAGCTTCTTCTCTGAGGCTTTTCCCCACTATGGAGCGTGTGCGGTCACTCAGCGGTCAAGCCCGGCCTGCTTTTGCAGCTGCAGGTCAAGATCAAGGTGGCCTTCCAAATGGCTCCATGTCTTCTGATTCCTCTGCAAGCCTTTAGGGCAGGCATGGGCCAACTTCGGCCCTCCCTCCAGGTGTTTTGGACTTCAACTCCCACAATTCCTAACAGCCTACCGGCTGTTAGGAATTGTGGGAGTTGAAGTCCAAAACACCTGGAGGGAGGGCCGAAGTTGGCCCATGCCAGAGTCTTACTGTGTGTCTAAAGTCGGGGTGTGTTGCCCCTCCATGCTTCGTTCGCTGAGGGCTTGGTCTGATTTTGAGGAAGGGGCTTTCCAGGCCTGTGACTGTGCGTGTGTGTTCATTGTGTGTGTGTGTCTGCAAGCAAAGCATCTGGAAGCCACGTTTGCACATGGGTCGCCTGGGTCCCAGGCAGCGGAAGGGATTGGGAGGGTCCAGGGCTGGAGTGGACACTACTGCTGTGTCCATCCAGGTGGACATTTGGGGCTCGGGCCAGCCCTCTGAACTGGGAAGCGGGGGGGGGGGGGGATGTGTGGCAGGGAGGGAGACGCATGGACATTATGTAAAGGTTTTTAATGAAACTATAAATAAAAGATCCAGATTATTTTTTTGTCTGTTTCTCTGGAAAAGAATTTCTAAGGTAAACCAATAAAAAAAGTTTATAGTATTGTTTCCTGCTTGCTTGGTTCTTTCTCTGCCTTCCTCCCGACGTCCCAACACATTTGGCAGGTGACACTCTCGGAGCGTACACATTGGAGGCACAATCTATTACACAATACAGCTTACCAGTCGAAAGGATGGCAGTTCGAAGCCCGGGTCGGGTGAGCACCCGCCTTCAGCCCAGTTTACTGTCCACCTAAGCTGGCATGGGCAAACTTTCTAACTTGGGGGACGCATGCCCACAGTCCCTGCTAGGAGGACTGGCTGCCTGGTGATGGGAGGAAGGAAGAGAAGGATGGAAGGAAAAGGGGAGAGAGGGAAGGAGGAGGGAAAGACAAGGGAAGGGAAGGATGAAAGAGTGGAAGAGAAGGATGGAAGGAAGAATACAGGGAGGAAGAGAAGGATGGAAGGAAGGGAAGGATAAAAGAAGGGAGGGAAGGAGAAGGAGAAGGGAAGGAGGAAAGAAAGAAGGAAGGAAGGGAGAGAAGAGGGAGGAGGGAGAGGGAAGGAGGAGGAAAGAAAAGGAGAAAGGAAGGAAGAGAGGAGGAAGGAAGAAAAAGAAGGAAGGAAAAGAGAGAGGGAGAAGGAGAAAGAGGGAAGGGGAGGAAGGAAGGAAAGAGGAAGGAGAAAGGGAGGAGAGAAGGAGGAAGGAAGAAAGAGAGGAGAGAAGGAAGGAGGGAGGAAGGAAGGAGAAAGGGGAAGAGAAGGATGAAGGAAGGAAGAGAAGGAAGGAAAGAAGGGAGGGAGAAAGGGAAAGGAAGGAGGAAGGAAGAGGAAAGGAGGGAGAGAAGGATGGAGAAGGAGAAGGAGATGGAAGGAGGGAAAGAAGGGAAGAGAAAGGGGGAAGAGAAGGAGGAGGAGAAGGAAAAGAAAGGAAGGAAAGATGAGGGAAGGAGGAGAGGGGAAGGAAGGGAAGGAGAAAGGAAAGGGAAGGAAGGATGAATGGGAGGAAGAGAAGGATGGAAGGAGAAAGGGAGAGAAGGAAGGAGGAGGGAAAGATAAGGGAAGGAAGGATGAAAGGATGGAAGAGGGATGGAACGAAGGAAGAATAAGGGAGGAAGAGAAGGATGAAAGGAAGGGAAGGATAAAAGAAGGAAGAAGAGAGGGAGGATGAAAGTGGAAGGGAAGGAGGAAGGAAAGAAAGAAGGAAGGGTGAAAGGGAGGAAGAGAAGGATGGAGAGAAAGAGAGAAGGAGAGAGGAGGGAAGACAAGGAAGGAAGGATGAAGGGTGGAAGAGAAAGATGGAAGGAAGGGAAGAAAAGAGAAAGAAGGAAGGGGAAGAGATGGAGAGGGAGGAGGAGGAAGGAAGAGAAGGATGGAAGGAGAAAGGGAGAGGGAAGGAGAGGAAAAGACAAAAGGAAGAAGGAAAGAGAGAAGGAGGAAGAAGGGAAGAAAAAGAAGGAAGGAAAGGAAGGAAGGATGAAGGGAAGGGAAAGAGAGGAAGGAAGGAAGGAAAGGAAAGGAAGGAAAAGGATGGAAGGAGAAAGGAGAGGGAAGGGAGGAGGGAAAAGAGGGAAGGAGAGAAGGAGGAAGGAAGGGAAGGAAAAAGAAAGGGAGGAAAGAAAGAGGAAGGAGAAAGGGGAAGGGAAGGAGGAAGGGAAAAGGAAGGGAAGGAAGAGAAGGGTGGAAGGAGAAGGGAGAGAGGAAGGAGGAGGAAAGAGAAGGAGGAGAAGGAAGGAAGAGAAGGAGAAGGAAAGGAAGGATAAAGAGAAGAAAGAGGAGGAAGGAGAAAGAGAAGGGAAAGGAAGGAGGAAGGAAAGAAAAGGAAGGAAAAAAGGAGGTAGAAAAGGAAGAGGAAGAAAGGGAAGGAAAAGGAAAAGGAGGAAGGAAGGAAGGTAGAGAAGGAGAGAAGGGAAAAAGGGTGGAAGGGAAGGAGAAAGGGAGGAAACGAGGAAGGAAAGAGGGAAGGAAGGCCTGGATAGTGAGAGGGAGGGAAGGACTGAGGAAAGAGCCCAGGGGGCTGCATCTGGCCCCTGGGTCTGGGTTGACCCATCCCTGTACATCACTGGAAGTTCATCCACATGGCAATCTGATGCTCTGGAATGTAAACATATGACCAGGACACTCAAAGGTTATGCTCTCAGAATCAAGCACAGTTCTATGCATTTAGCTCTTGCATTGCATCGCTACACCACACACGGTTTAAACTACATTTCAGCCAATGTTCTAACAATGCAGCCCCCTCCTTTCTGCCAGGCAGGAAGACACAACACATGAATGAGCAAACAAATCAATCAATCAATCAATCATAGAGTCACAGAGTTGGAAGAGATCGTAGTAGCCATTCAATCGAGTCCCCTTCTGCCCTCCCTAAAGGAAGATAAGAGTCAAAGCCCTCCTGACAGATGGCCATCCAGCCTCTACTTTGAAACCCCCAGGGAAGGAAGGAAGGATGGATGGATGGATGGAAGGAAGGAAATAAGGAAAGATGGATGGACAGATGGATGGATGAAAATGAAGGAAGGAAAGAAGGAAGGATAGATGGATGGATGGATGGATGGATGGAAGGAAGGAAGGAAGGAAGGAAGGAAGGAAGGAAGGAAGGAAGGAAGGAAGGAAGGAAAGATGGATGGATGGATGAAAATGAATTTATTTATTTATTATTTTAGCAATTTTGTATACCGGTCTCCCCTCTATTGGGGGACTCCGGGCGGTTTCCAACAATAAAATCACAAAACAATCATTAAAAACATCATATAACATATTCAATTAAAATGTTATAATAGCAAAATGCAATCACATGGAAGGAAGGAAGGAAGGAAGGAAGGAAGGAAGGAAGGAAGGAAGGAAGGAAGGAAGGAAGGAAGGAATGAAGGAAGGAAGAGGTTGGAGGATGAAAAGGAAGGAAGGAGGAAAAGATGGAGGAGGGAAGGAAGAAAAGATGGAAGGAAGGGAAGATGGATGGATGGAAGGAAGGAAGGAAGGAAAGATGGATGAAAGGAAGGAAGGAAGAAAAGGATGAAAGGAAGGAAGGTAAGATGGACGGAAGGAAGGAAAGAAATAGAAGGAAGGAAGGAAAAATGTATGGATGGATGAAAGGAAGGAAAGATAGACGGAAGGAAGGAAAGAAAGAAAGAAGGAAGGAAGGAAAGATGGATGGCTGGCTGGATGAAAGGAAGGAAGGAAGGAAAGATGGATGGATGGATGGATGGAAGGAAGGAGGGAGGGAGGGAAGGAAGGAAGGAAGGAAGGAAGGAAGGAAGGAAGGAAGGAAGGGAAGGAAAGAGGAAAAGGAAGGAAGGAGAAGGAGAGAAAGGAAGAGAAGGAAGGAAGGAAGGAAGGAAGGAAGGAAGAAGAAGGAAGGATAAAGGAAGGAAGAAAGATGGAAAGGAAGAAAGAAAGGAAGGAAAGATGGATGAAAGTAAGGAAGGAAGGGAAGATGGAAGGAAGGAAAGATGGATGAAAGGAAGGAGGGAGGGAAGGAAGGAAGGGAGAAGGAAGGGAAGGGAGGGAGGGAGGGAGGAGGAGGGAGAAGGGAGGAGAAGAAGGAAGGAAAGGAAAAATGGATGGATGAAGGGAAGGAAGAAAAGATGGAAGGAAGGGAAGATGGATGGATGGAAGGAAGGAAGGAAGGAAAGATGGATGAAAGGAAGGAAGGAAGAAAAGGATGAAAGGAAGGAAGGTAAGATGGACGGAAGGAAGGAAAGAAATAGAAGGAAGGAAGGAAAAATGTATGGATGGATGAAAGGAAGGAAAGATAGACGGAAGGAAGGAAAGAAAGAAAGAAGGAAGGAAGGAAAGATGGATGGCTGGCTGGATGAAAGGAAGGAAGGAAGGAAAGATGGATGGATGGATGGAAGGAGGGAGGGAGGGAAAGGAAGGAAAGGAAGGAAGGAAGGAAGGAAGGAAGGAAGAAAAGATGGATAAAAGGAAGGAAGGACGGAAGGAAGCATGAAAGGAAGGAAGGAAGGAAGGAAGGAGGAAGGAAAAAGAAGGAAGGAAAGAGGAGAAAGAAGGAAGGAAGGAAGAGGAAGGAAGGAAAGAGGAAAGGAAGGAAGGAGGGAAGGAAGGAAGGAGGAGGGAGGGAGGAAAGGAAGGAAGGAGAGGAAGGAAGGAAGGAAGGAAGGAAGGAAGGAAGGAAGGAAGGAAGGAAGAGAAGGAAGGAAGGAAGGAAGGAAGGAAGGAAGGAAGGATAAAAGGAAGGAAAGAAAGATGGATTAAAGGAAGGAAGAAAGGAAGGAAAGATGGATGAAAGTAAGGAAGGAAGGGAAGATGGAAGGAAGGAAAGATGGATGAAAGGAAGGAGGGAGGGAAGGAAGGAAGGAAGGAAGGAAGGAAGGGAGGGAGGGAGGGAGGGAGGGAGGGAGGGGGAGAGGAAGGAGAGGGAGGGAGGGAGGAAGGAGAATGGATGGATGAAAATGAAGGAAGGAAGGAAAAATGGATGGATGAAGGGAAGGAAGAAAAGATGGAAGGAAGGGAAGATGGATGGATGGAAGGAAGGAAGGAAGGAAAGATGGATGAAAGGAAGGAAGGAAGAAAAGGATGAAAGGAAGGAAGGTAAGATGGACGGAAGGAAGGAAAGAAATAGAAGGAAGGAAGGAAAAATGTATGGATGGATGAAAGGAAGGAAAGATAGACGGAAGGAAGGAAAGAAAGAAAGAAGGAAGGAAGGAAAGATGGATGGCTGGCTGGATGAAAGGAAGGAAGGAAGGAAAGATGGATGGATGGATGGATGGAAGGAAGGAGGGAGGGAGGGAAGGAAGGAAGGAAGGAAGGAAGGAAGGAAGGAAGGAAGGAAGAAAGGAAGGAAGGAAGGAAGGAAGGAAGGAGAAGATAAAAGGAAGGAAAGAAAGATGGATTAAAGGAAGGAAGAAAGGAAGGAAAGATGGATGAAAGTAAGGAAGGAAGGGAAGATGGAAGGAAGGAAAGATGGATGAAAGGAAGGAGGGAGGGAAGGAAGGAAGGGAGGGAGGGAGGAAAGGAAGGAAGGAAGGAAGGAAGGAAGGAAGGAAGGAAGGAAAGATGGATAAAAGGAAGGAAGGACGGAAGGAAGCATGAAAGGAAGGAAGGAAGGAAGGATAAAAGGAAGGAAAGAAAGATGGATTAAAGGAAGGAAGAAAGGAAGGAAAGATGGATGAAAGTAAGGAAGGAAGGGAAGATGGAAGGAAGGAAAGATGGATGAAAGGAAGGAGGGAGGGAAGGAAGGAAGGGAGGGAGGGAGGGGAAGGAAGGAAGGAAGGAAGGAAGGAAGGAAGGAAGGAAGGAAGGAAGGAAGGAGTATAAAAATACTGCAACATATTCCTAAGTGAAATGGCTGTGATGTCCAAGGGCGTTCTTCCTCCTGCCTCGGAGGACTCCCTTTCCCTGCCATTTGACTCCCTGTCCTCGGCTGCAGCAGAACACAACTGTGATCCCTCCCCAAGGGTGACAGCCTTTCAAATATTTAAGCTCAGCTCTGGAGGCTCTTCCTCTCGGCCTTTTCCTTCTCCAGGCTCAGCATCCCCGGCTCCTTGAGCTCCTCTTCATCGTGATTTACTGATCTGAGCGGTCGTTAGATGCCACCGTCTGCTCACTTCCTTTTGTCCTTTCCTTCTCCCTTTGGGCAGGTGAGGAGGACGAAGGAGCATCCTTCTGTGGCCTCTTCCTCCTCCAAAGAGCATCACACGTCATTTGTGTCCTCGCAGGCAAGGAAGGCAGAGGGAAAGCAAGAGAGAGGGCCAAAGGAACTCCTTTCACCTGTGCCCAGGTGTGCACCCCTCCCTCCCTCCTTCCTCACCTGCATCCCCCAGGAAACCGGATTGAGGTCCTTTGAGTGCCGCGAATTAATCCCTCCTTCTAGCCGCATTTCAGAATTATCTGCAGGAACCCCAAGATGCCTCCGCATCCTTTCCTCCGTACTTACCTGCTGTTGTTATTGGGATGCCTCCAGGTGCCAGGTAAGTCTCACCTGTCTTCCTTTTGCAAAGCTGGTTTGTCGCTTTCCCCTTCCATCTTTCCTTTCTCCGTCTCTCCTGCAGATTCTAAGGTTTCTGCTTTGACCTCCTACCTGGAGAGAGCAGGTAGATTTCTCTAAGCCAACGCACCTCCCGGCTTGCTTTGATCCTCAGCCTATGTTTGGAAAATATAGGAGGGGTTGGAAAGGCTCCATAGAAACCTGGCATTTATTGGGGGGCGTTTGGCCAAGTGTGGCCACCAGGTAAATTGCAATTCAGTCACCTGTGCCCGCCCGCCCGCCTCCTTCGAAACGCACCTTTTCCTAATTGGAAAAAAGGCCTGCCTGGATCTGTAAGCCAAGCTCCAAGATGTCAATAGGCGCACCTGCCGGAGAAAGAGGACACCTGGCATTCAAGTTTCAGGTGAGGACAGGGCAGCAGGGAGGGAAGGAAGGAAGGAAGGAAGGAAGGAAGGAAGGAAGGAAGGAAGGAAGAAGGAAGGAGAGGAAGGAAGGAGGAGAGGAAGGAAGGAAGGACGCAATGAAGGAAGGAAGGAAGGAGGGAGGGAAGGGGAAGGAAGGAGAGGAGGAAGGAAGGAGAGAGGAAGAGAAGGAGGGAAGAAGAGAAGGAGGAAGGAAGAGAAGGAGAAGGAGGAAGGAGGGGGGAAGAAAGGAGAGGGAAGGAAGGAGGAGGAAGAGGAAAAGGAAGAGGAGAGCGAAAGGGAAGAATGAAATCAAACAAGAGAAGCGAAGCGCAAGGAAGCAAGGGAAAGAGGGAAGGGAGGAAGGGGGAAGGAAGGAAGGAAGGAAAAGAGAGGGAGGGAGGAGGAGAGGAAGAGAAAGAAAGAAAGGAAGCGAAGGAAGGAAGAGAGGAAGAAAGTGAGAAGGAAGGAAAGGAAGGAAGGAAGGGAGGGAGGGAGGGAGGGAGGGAGAGGAAGGGAGAAGGAAGGAAGGAAGGAAGGGGGAGAGAGGAGGAAGGGAGCAAGGAAGGGAAGGAAGGAAGGAGGAAGGCAAGGAAGGGAAGGAAGGCGTTCTGGGGGGGTGCGTAGGCCTCGGGAGGGAGGGAAAGAAAGAAAGATGGATGCACTGTGTGAAGGAAGGAAAGAAAGAAAGAGGTAGAGAAGGAAGAAAGGAGAGAAAAAAAGAAGGGAAATAAAAAGGAGGGAAGGAAGGAAGGAAAGAGGTAGAGAATGAAGGAAGAAGGAAAGAAAAAAAGAAGGAAGGAAAGAGGGAGAGAAGGTTGGCCACAGCAACGCCTGGCGGGTACAGCTAGTAAGCTTATAAAATCCAATAAAGAAAGGAAGGAAGGAAGGAAAGAAAGAAGGAAGGAAGGAAGAGAGGAGAAGGAGAAGAATGGAAGGAAGGAAGGAAGGAAGAAAGGAAGGAAGGAAGGAGGAAGGAAGGAAGGAAGGAAGGAAGGAAAGAGAAGGAAGGAAGGAAGGAAGGAAGGAAAGAAGGAGGGAGGAAAAGGAAGGAAGGAAGGAAGAAGGAAGGAAGGAAGGAAGAAGGCAGGAAGGAAGAAAGAAGAGAGGGAAAAATAGAAGGAAGGAGGGAGGGAAGGAAAGAGAGAAGGAGGAAGGAGGAAAGGACTAAACGAAGGAAGGAAGGAAGGAAGGAAGGAAGGAAGGAAGGAAGGAGGAAGAGAAGGAAGGAGGGAGGAGGGAAGGAAGGAAGGGAGGAGGGAAGGAAGGGGGGAGGAAGGAAGGGCTTCAAATCCTACCTTTCCTGTTCATTGCCTTCCCTCTACTTGCTCTCAGGGTGGATCTGCACTGCTAAACTGATGCAGTTTGGAACCACTTCAGTTGCCGTGGCTCAAGGCGACGGGATCCTGGGAGTTGGGGTCAAGAAGGGTCAAGACCATGCAAAACTACAACTCCCAGGTTCCCATAGCATCGAGCCATTCATTGCACAAGGTCTTTAGATGGTTGGGGCCTTGCAAAACTACAACTCCCAGGTTCCCATAACATCAAGCCATTCATTGCACAAGGTCTTTAGAGGGTTGGGGCCTTGCAAAACTACAATTCCCAGGATTCCTTTGCATCTAAGTGGTGCCAAACTGCATTCGTTCCACAGTCTGGATTCAACTGATGCAATGGAGTCCTGGGAATTGTCGTTTGGTGCATCTACGCTGTGGAATGAATGCGGTTTGGCACCACTTTCACTGCCGTGAATATAGATATACGATATGAATATATTTTATGTTTATACGAGGGTTGAATGAAAAGTAATGCCTCCACCTTCGTAACTCCTCAACAGATAGCAGTCCTGGTATGTGGCAGGTACTGGCTTATTCAGTAGACTCCCCTCTACAGTTCCATTTTGGTGGGAAGCCTTAGCATTGAGCGGTTGTGTTGTTAAAGTACAAAGTATGAGGGTTGAATGAAAAGTAATGCCTCCACCTTCATAGCTCAACAGATGATGGTACTGGTATGCGGCAGGTACTAGCTTGTTCAGTAGACTCTCCTCTACAGTTCCATTTTGGCAGAAAGCGTTGAACGGTTGTGTTGTTAAAGTGCAAAGTACGAGGGCTGAATGAAAAGTAATGCCTCCACTTTCGTAACTCCTCAAAAGATGGCAGTATTGGTATGTGGCAGGTACTGGCTTGTTCTGTAGACTCTCCTCTACAGTTCCATTTTATTTATTTATTATTTATTTATTTGCTTTATTTCTATACCGCATTTTTCAGCCCGGTTAGGTGACTCAATGCGGTTTTTGACAATTTTGGTGGGAAGCCTTAGCATTGAACTGCTGTGTTGTTAAAGTACAAATTACGAGGGTTGAATGAAAAGTAATGCCTCCACCTTCGTAACTCCTCAACAGATGGCAGTACTGGTATGCGGCAGGTACTGGCTTGTTCTGTAGATTCTCCTCTAGAGTTCTATTTTGATGGGAAGCCTTAGCATTGAACGGTTGTGTTGTTAAAGTGCAAAGTACATGGGTTGAATGAAAAGTAACGCCTCCACCTTCAAGGTGTCACCTCAACATCTTTAAACTTACTCACCCAAACTACGCACAGTACTCACATCAACACAATCACCATCAACAGCTTACATACTCCGATGCATCTCCTCTGGGGTGACACCTTCTACTGTCAAGAATTCAATGACTGCACATTGCTTAAGTCGCATTGACCTACTATCTGCTCAGGGTTCCATACTTTGCACTTTAACAACACAACCATTCAATGCTAAGGCTTTCTGCCGAAATGGAACTGTAGAGGAGAGTCTACTGAACAAGCCAGTACCTGCGTATACCAGTACTGCCATCTGCTGAGGAGTTACCAAGGTGGAGGCATTACTTTTCATTCAACCCTCGTATCAGTAGAATATTTGAAGACTGGCTTTTAGGAATTGTGGGAGTTGAAGTCCAAAACACCCGGAGGGAGGGCTGAAGTTGGCCCAGGCCTATTTTAATATGTTCACTTTGGAAAATAAAAAAGATCAACAACAGCCTCTTCTTTGTGACCCTGGGATATGTAGTTCCATTGACCATTGATTGACCTTGCTCTGTCCTTTGTCTCGACCTTTGTCCTCCCCTTTCCCAGGTGTCTCGGGGGCCCAAGGCAGGTTTGCCTACAAGCTTCTGGCCGACCTCTTTGCCAATTACTCCAACGCACTGCGTCCGGCGGAGGATACGGACCGCGCCCTCAACGTCACCCTCCAGGTCACTCTCTCTCAGATCATAGACATGGTAAGGATTTGTTTGGCCAGGAATCCCATAGGGAAGGGGGCACCTTGAGGTCATCTAGAATCATAGAAT